GCTGAAACTCAGATGAAAAACTTGGCAGTGTAGCCCTTTATGAACTGGATTTGCTYTATTTAAATATTTCACTGCACTGTAGCTTGAGGGCACCAGTACATGGAATGCTATAGACCAAACTTTCCTCAATTTAATGACTGTTTCATGCATCATTCCATACACTTCTCAGGTAAAAGCTGTTCAACTTATTTGAAGTCTCTCATGCAGAAATGTGTTTGTAAGGTCTGTTGCATAGTGCTGTCATCAAAAGTAGGACAGCTTGGGATATGAAGTCCTATTGGATTTCAGTCAAGGTCTAAATCCCATACTGATGAAASGTATTTAATTTATCATCCCGTGGCTGATCAACATGTGCACATACATGGGCTTTCATACTCCACTGCTCTTCATTTATCTGTGAATCTCAGTGATACTTTTTTCTACCTGYCAGTTTTATGGCATCTGTTAAGGCAATAGTGCGTAGTGTTTTATAAGCAAGCTAATTCTCACAACATCTTTATGTGGCCRACAAGGTGTGTGAATACCTTGTGTCCATCTTTAACAAAAAATGAACTGTGTAAAGAAATTTGAGAACTTCTTAGATCACATAAGTTCATATAACAGCTAAACCCACAATTTTGAACTGCTGACTTTGTTCTCTGGTCATGGTCACTTTTTATCACATATAATGAAGAATAAACTACTATGTTTTGAGGACAGAAGTAAATGCAATTGTTTGGTTTTTTTAAAAGGAAAAAATACAAAAAAGAAACTTGGAAGCATTGCTGGTAAGACCATTGTTGAGTTTCTTGCACCAAATAGGATAATTAATGAAACTACTTAATTACATAAGTGTAATTACCTGTTTTCTTTGTAATATGTGCAGTACTGAAAGGTGTCCCAATACAGGTGGTTGTGGTGCAATATAGAATACTGTTGTCATATCCACTTAGAGGAGATAATGACATTCATTCTGATTTAGACAAGCTGGTATCATGTTGTGCTGTTCTTGGTCATACTCTGGCTGTCTGTGGTGCTGTGCTAACACAGTGACTTTCATTCAGGACGTTGCACACACGGTGTGTTGGTCACTGGGCAGTGCTGCAGAAGGAAGGCACTTGCAGTAGCGCTGATTTCAGCTCACAGGGTCTGCTTCCACTGGATGTGATAATAGTGCCCATCATCCTGCTATGCATCATTCTGCAGACTTGATCCCCAATTTCTTGCTTRTCTGGAAGAATACCTACTCCTACATGATGCTCCTTTTCACCTCTTTTCATTCCTCTTGGGATCCATTCGGAAGCAAACACAGCACATTTTGTGCATTGTCAGTTCTCAGACAAATATAAATAACCACTTTACTCTTCCACCCATTCCTCTCTTTATCTCTTTTCCTTCATCTCTAGGTTTTCCTTTCATCCTTGGTGCAAGACAAGGGATCAATTTGCTAAGAATTCGTGGCTGATGCCCAAGAGCCTGGACTTGGGCCCACTAAGTTGTGGGAAGAAGTGCAATCTTAATGAGTCAGAGTGTGGGTCTGTTAGTGTCCCAAGTACTGCTTCACTGGCTAGATAAAGAGTTAGAGAGTAGAGGAAAAACCTGTGTTACTGTTGACATRTTGCAGATGATTTAGTAGTTGTTGAAAACGAGTTAATTTTATTCTGAGTGTTTAATTAGGGTGGTAGTACATTAAGTAAAGGATTATCTCTCCCAGTGGCTCAGATACYGTGGCAGTGTTCCTGAAAAAATAACCACAGATTTCGTAAGAGTAGATTGGATCTTAAGTGGTGAATTTATTTTTATTTGCTTTCATCAGTCATACTGYTTAATCCAAGATGCTAAACTGAGTGCTTCACAGATCCAGGTGCACAACCCTCCTTGGGATGCATTTAATGTGGGTAGAATACCATCCATGAGATTGTGGTATGTTCTCCAGCTATCAAAATCTTCCAGGGGCTCAGAAAAATAACAGTCCAGAAACCATTTTCCACAGCAGAAGCTAGCAATTTGTTTCATATTGCAAAGATCTGAGAAATGCTGATGGAAGTTTTCAGAAAGGTAGAGCACTTGGAGCTTAAAGTAATTTTCCCCTGTGAGATCAAGTCCAGCTGTTTCAAGTCAGATACCCAAGAATCAAAGTTTCCACCATTCATTATGAAAAGCTGGGATTTAACCACTGGAGACCTTTGAAAAGTTCCAGCAATCGTGTTTACAGATTTAAGTGCTTTTCTGAGTATTTGAATCTAAGATTTATTTGCATATACATCTTATAGGCACTTTCTCCTCCATGTAATCCATTTTCATGCTGCTTTTCCCAGTCCCTGTTATTTGTGTAGTTGTTAAAATGCTTCCGTTGAATACTTAGAGCAGTGAATTTGATGGGAAGTGGTCTAACCTATCTTCCCTTCCCTCCTTCCTCAGTTTCCACATGTAGAATTTCTCTGTGTATTCTGACTAATAGCTTCACAAATTTTATCCCCATTTCAGACTTCTAATATGAAATAATTGATTTGTTTTGAGAGTTTATTTGCTTACTTCCATTATTTCTAYAGTTTTCTGTGGTTTTCACTCACCTTGTGCTCTGTAGGTGCTTAGACATGGCCTTAGCTCTGTGTGCATACCTAGCCTGCTCATGAGACCACTAAACCCTCTTAGCATTGCTGAGCAATTAATGAGATCCTTTATACAGCTTTAATGGAGAACTCCAGTCCTGTCCTTAGTTTGCCAGACATGAGCAGTTTAGAAAGAAGTCTGCTTTTTCAGTGAAGGCTTATCTCCCATATCTAATACACAGTATATGACTCATTTGCACGTGCAACTGCTTTTGCTACCAAAAGCTCTCTTTTGTGAATTGCTTTTTTCCTGACTTCTGCAAGACTGCATCTCTAATACTGCTTCCTTTACTTGCCTTCCGTGGAAGTCCTCAGAGATTAATTTGGTCCAGTGAATAAAAATATAAACAGAAACCTGCAGAAGCTTCATTTACAATTCTGTAACATATAAAATTTTAGACATAAAGACAGTTGAGTGTAAACAATGGTAACTTTATATTGTTATAATGTAAGTTGATGATTTCAAGTTTGAATTTGATATAATGGCTTGAACTGCCACTATTATATATTTGATATAATGGCTAGAACTGCAGTAAGCACTGGTGAAGTAGAACAGTGCTGACTTCACYTCTGTTTTGATATGATGAAAGTGTCCCCTTGAACTGTAAAGTGGGGTGTTGGTGTGACACATAGAGCTACCATGGCAGAACAAATTGCACAAAGCTTAAACTGAAGAGTTCTAACTGACCAAGCAATAACAAGGCAGGATTTCTGCAAACTGGGAAACATTTTCTTTTTCTTGTGTTCACACTATRAATAGAAGACAGTGTAAAAACACAGCTGTGTAGGAACGTTATAAAACATCAATGCCTCAATAAATTATGAAGCATATGTTCAGTTCAGTGTAAGAAGGCAAAAATAAAAACGTAGAACTAYTGTGAAATATCCCTACAGTATTAAGGCCAGTGTGTTAGAAATCACTGGTTGATTTTTGACCAATGACATTACACCCATAAATCATTATCACTAAATGGTATATTCTGGTTTCGTTGTCTGTACATATTTCATGTTAGTACTACTTGAACTGGGTTTATGTTGCTGGAAAGGGTTGTATCAAATGTGATTGCTTACTAAAAAGCTGAGGCAGTACCCATGACTTGGCTGAGCCCTGYGCTGCTCTGGAGCTGTGCAGGATCCCGGTGCCATCCCCTGCCCGTGGCCGGGCTAAATGCGCCATCTGGTGACTGGCGGGCAGGGTTTATTTAAAACAAGGAGAGAAGAGCAGAAAGCCAGTGGAGTTTTTAATGAATTTCTGCATCAGCAGAGAAAAGGCATGAAGGTTGACAAACCCTTATATTGCCTTATTTTTCTTTCACTAATTAAYAGCTATTCTTAGATCATAATTTTTTTAAATGCCATTGTTTCTGTTGTTGTCCTCCATGCTGCTACCAGGGTCTTTGCTGACATCCAGATAGAAATCATCTGCTGTGGCAGAGTGTTTGGGCAGACAGTYAGTGCTTTATTCAAAAGTTTCAGAAGTCATTATAACATCAGTTTACTGCCTGCATCYGAAATGCTGATTCTCAAAAATTTGGTTCAAATGTCTAGAATTGCCTGGATTTCTTAGAATCATAGAATGATTTCGGCTGCAAGGGGTCTTTAYATGCTGTCTAGCCCACCCCCTTGCAATGAGCAGGGACATCTTCATCCAAATCAGGTTACTCAGAGCCCTCTCCAACCTGACCTTGAATGTTTCCAGCATGAGRAGTCTACAGCCTCTCTTAGCAATCTGTTCCATTGTTTTACCACTCTCATTGCAAAAATCCTCCTCTTTTATCTAGTTTAAACTACCCTCTTTTACTTAAAACCATTAGCCAATGTTTTATCTCAACAGGCCCTACTAAGAAGTTTGTCCCCATCTTTTCATAAGCCCTCTTTAAGTATCAAAAGACTGCAATAAGCTCACCCATCCCTYGCTGTCCCTTTGTCCACCTGCCCTACATGTAACTGCTAAGCCTCACGCTTGGCTGGACGTAAGTGGTACACTAACTGGATTTTGTGCAAAAAGTGGTTAATATGGGGCACCAAACCCCTACTAGAGGCAGTTGAGATAGAATAACTTCATTAAAAAAACATGGAATAAGGTAAATTTTGTTATTAGTCAAGGAAGGAATTATTTGAGTTAACTAACACCTGCTAGCTGTATAGAGAAGAAATGCTCTAACTGAGGATCTTTGTTTTCTATATGCAATRTTTACAAATCAAGTTAAATATTAAAAGCAACATTTTGATGTTGTTTTTCTGTGAAGACACCTGTGTAATTCAGTCCAAGTCACTATTACTTTGAAAACCGACTGTCCATGTGGATCCCATCTAATCAAGTACTTGTCATCTTGATTTAAAAATAATTTCTTTGAGATTGTTAGCTTAAGGAAAGTGTTATTACTCTTCTGTCTCTTTCTTTTCTAGGATATTAAACACAACATTGTTTGAACTGTATGAAGCTCTGGGCAATTTTCCTGCCTTTTGGATCCTCAATGTRCTGCTTATGGTTCATCAAAGTCTCAACTGTATTTGGTCTTACCTAATCATAAAGACAGCCTACAAAGCTATTTCAAAGGGCAAGGTAAGACAAAACGGTTCTGTTGCATGATTTTAAGTTTTTCAATAGAGGTCACTTTTTTGTTATTTTGGGGTTTTTGCTAATCCATAACACGCTACTGAAGATACATCTTGTTTTAGGTAAAGTCTTCTTTCCTTTCCTTGAAACTTTTTCCCACTCCCAATGATTGTCAGATAAGTTCATAATACTCTTTATAGTGATTGTTTTTATAGGTGCTTCCACATTTCTTTTTTACTACCTGGTACGCTGAACCAAACTACATTAGGGAAATCAGATTTTAAAAAAAAAGTAAACTGCTTTCTTGGGGCTGCCAGTTCTGTTTTCTTCTTTATAGCAGTTGTTAGCAAAATGTGCATTTCATAGCTGGAAGTGATAGCAATAATAATAAAAAATTAAATTCTGCTGAATTTGCTAGTGGYAAAGTTACAGATTTCAGCCTCTTTTAGGTTTTGGTATTAATGAGGAATTGCAAAGAGTCAGGTATTTGCTTTCCATTATTCCCAGAGCAATTCCATTGAGCTTAAATTCAGTGTCGTGCTGCCACTGGTAGATTAGACAGGAAGATGTCACTCCCARAAATGCCCACCGCATTACAATTGCTGTGCAGATGCCGTGCTCACGTGTAGATGATGCTCACTACTGCTTACAGATCATGTAAAGTATGAGCAGAGCACATGAGTTGATGTGACTGACCCTGAARTGGATTGTTCTCCAGAAAACTGCTTTCTATGAATGTACTGGAGAGCTCAGCCATGCACTGGAAGAGCCCAGAATCTGCCACTCACTCTGTGAAAGACAGTGCATTCATGAGCTATATTTCACCTGGAAGCCACACTTGAGTCTCCTCTGCTTTTAACAATTATTAGCTTCAGCTGTCCTGTCTGAATTGTGTCATTGACTTCAGAGTGCTTCCTACTCTCTCTTACTCTGCTTGTTTATCCTTTCCCTTGTGCTGTGCTGGAAGGCTGGGAAGTGGAACCCCTTGCATGTAAGTTTCTTTACATTTACTATGCAAAAGATTTATTCTGACAACACTAGTGTTTCTGGATTGGGTTGCTTTGGTTCTTTGAATTTGTAGTTTCTGCTTGGTATTTTAATCCATTGTTTGTATTTATATGTATATAAGTGAAGACTGCCTTTAAAGGCCATTTTTGTACTCCTTGGCTATGCATCACCTAAAACCATTCAAACCCACTTCTATCTGTAGTGTCTGGGTGCTATTGTGCTGCTACCTTTTTCATACACAGACAATRTATGTACATGTGAGTGTGTGTGTATACACATGCAGACACATTTCTCAGCAGAATAAGCAGCTGCTCTGTCAGCATTCAGGACACTCACTTGAGACTATAAATCCTTCACCTTGTAGTTCTAAAAACAGCACAGAAGAAAATCTAGATTGTACAAGAGCAGAGTTAGACACTGTGATCACATTGATCATAGGTGCTCAGTACCCTGTGCTGAGACCATTCTCTTCTGTCTGTTAAGAGTATAATTCTRAGTGTATTTCTGTACTACCCCCACCAGCTGTAATATAGAAGTCCCTKTATATAAAAGACACTGAAGTAACCTATTAATTGAAGCTGTGTAAGTATGAAATCAAATTTCTGACCTCAGCTGAAGTCCAGTTTCACAGGTGTCAGAATTGTGGGCTAGACATGGACATTAAAAACTTTATTTATTAGGAGCATGTAGGACCCGTGTTTCTTTTTTCGCTGGTTCCAAGCAGAATAGTGTCACTCAGGTATTATGATACTGCAGGGGCAACACTGGGAGCCACAAAAGCAAATGGCTATCTCTGAGATGAGAGTGGAATTGTCATGAAGACTTTTCTCCTCATAAAGGAGAGGAGGATTACTGTAAGCAAAAAATTACACACAGTGGCCCCGTTCTTTAAGTGGTTTTAGGTCTTCAGGAATAAGGCTCACGATGCATTTTGCTCCCTTTTATCTCAATTTGCCATAGTAAAGTCAGCTGTAATTGCCCAGTTGTGGCAGCCAGCATGGCATGGATATATCTAGAAGAAACTGTCATGCTCAGCTACACAAACAGGAGTAGAAACAGGCATGAAAATGGCATCCTTAGAGCTGCATCTGGGTTAAACTTCAGACTTCTTTCTATTGATGCTTTTTTTTGTAATTCATCTGGTGGGCTCTTACCAGTTTTGGAGATTTTCAAGATTTTTCAAAGAAGTCAGCTGAAAATTAGCAGGAAATCCTTAGCAACTGAGGTCCATCTGTTTCTGAAAGAACTGTGCAGTGACACAGTGGGGCCCACAGCTGAACTGTGATTCCTATGTTAGGAGCTGTGATTGCTATGTTAGGGCTAGTTGAACTGGACTATGTCCACATTTTGCAAGTGCTGTTGTCACCACTTGTGTGAAGTGAGAGACTGGAGTAACCTGGTGTGCTGAGTTATGTTTCAAGCAGTACTCTGCCTCCTTCTGCCAGCATGTAGCACTATTCCCTAGATCCATGTGGTCTCCACTGAGTCAGGAGATAAGGGGTGGAAGTTGTGTTGAACATTTTGTATTACCAGGTCAAAGAGCGGCACTCYGAATGAAGGACAGGATATTAAGTTGTAGTTAGGAGGGACTGAGAGGGGATTAGCCTAGATTGAATTTGAGAGCTTGGATTGTTGTTTACTTCAGTCTGTGCAAAACCCTTTACTTTRAGCACTTAGCCATCCTACCTTCAGTGCACCAGAGCTGAGTTCTCACCCTCCCTTTGCACATGGCATATGTATGTGCAGACATCTGTGTTTGGAGTGAGTCCAAGCAGGCAAAGGCAGAGGAGTGTGGCAGATCTGAGATTGCCTTCAGAGCTCAGACTGAAAAAATGTGTGAATTCTCTGTTTCTCTTGAACCAAAAAGCTGAGTCGTTTCCGTACAGTCACCTACTGCTTACTTCTTTTCCACATTCTCCAGGTAGCAAAGGATGCCCGAAGTGATGTTGAGTCAAGCTCAGATGAGGAAGAAACAGYACCTCGCTCAAAGGCCCTGCACAGCTCTGTCGCCACGAATGGGACCAGTGGTGCCAGTGGGACAAATGGGTAYCTTACTGGTGGCACTTGCTCAGAGGAGCATTAATCCTCCAGTTCAATCACAAGACACGAGGAGAATGAACTGTTTGCTACTGGAAGTAAATTATAAGTTGTGAATGCGGTTTATTCATRTATTTCAGCATCAGAAAAAATTAGGAGTATCAAAGCATTCTGATTGTGCACTGCCATGTTTGCTGTTTTCAAATGAAGACAGCACACCATTCTGTATACGTAGGCATGCTGTATGTGTATGTACCTGACACAATGGGAGCAGTATTTTCACTTGTACTGTCTGAAATACTATTTATTTTTTATTCTTTTGGGAACTTTCGGACAAAAGGGAATATCCATTCTCAACCTTCATGTCTTGGATTCTCGGTGATGGAGAGCATCATGCTCAGATCTCTTCTGTCCATCCCTGTTGCTTTTTCTGAATCTGCTATAAGTAATAGTTGCTTGATTTGTTACTTAYGGTAAGATAGCACATAGCTTTATAGATTTTAGATCTGCTTCAGATATTTTTGCTATCTTTGTGTTTAAAAATACTGGTTTTGAAATTGCCTATCAAATCACAGTTACTGTTCCTCCAAAATAATTTGGGAAAAAATGTGGTAATTGTGGGTTATTATTTTATCATAATTTAAAATTCAATTTGGTGGTTAACTGCATTAGAAGTAGACTTGATTTGTTGTGCAAATACCCAAAATCATTGATGTCAGCACTTAGGATAAATTCATTGTTTCTTTTTTTTTTCCTTTTTTTGCCCCTTCAATTTTTGACCTCTACAGATTTTAGCTTTTTACAAAGATTCCATGAAAAATGSTATTTTTTCAAATGCACCATTCTGGATCCAGACCTAACTCCTGAAATTGCTCTTGCATGTTCACCTGATTGAGAGCAGGAGTGTAAGGGATAAAACAGCAGATGAAAAGTTCATTGCTTCCTCAGAAACAGCTCAGTCTAGGTATTGTTCTCAAAATTACTGCTCAAAATTGCTTGGCAGGGTGAAGAGAGAGAAGGCATAATGTCATACATTACTAGAATTAGTTTATTTTAAATGTGTGAGAACCTGAGCAAAATTCACTTAGCATAACTCACAGCAACCCTTAAATTCTCAGCAGTATTTCATCACCTCTATAAATAAAATTAAGGTTGTCTATAAAATATTCCTGTATCCTTTTTTAATCAGGATTTTCCAATAGCATCCAAAAGAAGACAAAGTAACAAGTAACACCTAAAGTAAGCATCTTTTAAAACATTATATACATACTTCCAGTCTCTAGACAAAGTTTGGTGCAGGATGCTAAGGATCATACAACTCTTGCAGGACACTCTTCTGTGATTCGTGACAGTAGTGCCAAAAGTAGGCAAGGTTCTTGGGTAACAAATTCTATGCAACCTACTGTTCAACAGTATTATGTGTGTGCACACAGAACCCATGTGCTTATAGACCAAAGACTTACATATATATATATATATATACACACAGATATATATATATATATATTTTAAAAAAAAAGGTTTTTTAAAAAAGGGAGGAACAAACCAGGAAAAAAATCTTAAATGCATCTTCTGTATACAAAGGGATTGGAGTGCTGTGTTCATTTGGAAATCTGAGCCATGAAGTAATTTCTGATTCCTTCCACCTATGCAAATAGTAAAATATAGATGGTTTCTGATGCCATAAAACATATTTAAAGACTATTTTATAAAGACTCTGTTGAAGAAAGTTGTGTTGTCACTTCTTTCTTTTGAAAACTCAGATTTATCCTATTCTACTCTTCACTCTTGAAAACTTCTAAAACCTTTATCATCCATAGAAACTCCTACGTGTTAGGAACAAGGTGTGCTAAAAGCAAGGTTGGAATGGCATGAATGGAAGTACCTCAACTTAGTAAACAATATAGGTAAGAAAAATTAAAAATTGTAAATTATAAAAGAGCTGTCTGTTCTACTACCCACAATGCACCATTTGAACAAGCCAGATAATCTTGTAATCCAGCAGCTGCATAGCTTATATATCCATGAGTATATCCGAGGGAATAAGGGAGCCTTACTTAAATCTCTTCCCCAGAAAGTTTCTCTGCCTGTCTCCTGTGCATTTGATTTCATACAGATACCTGTAGGGCAGGTTATAYATGTGAAAATACCCTGATTGCAATAGAAAGTATCCTATCCATGGTGTTTGAAGRTGCAGCTGTGTAGTAATTACTGTAAAGATGATGACAGAATTTTAAAATAAAACCATCCTGGGATATATTAAATAAAGATTATAATTTGTGAAATCTGATCTAAGATTGTAATGGGGAATATCAGTTTAAACACACCTCTTTCGTGGTGTTATTACCTCCACTGAAGCATTTCCCTTCTGCAAAGATGGTTACAAAGATGGCATTCTGGCAAAACATCCCATATTCTTACATGGGAACAGAATGTTGCTCTGAACTGTCAATATGTACAACATAGGCAACATGCTGCAGTGTTGGTGATACCAGGGCACAGAGCAGTAGGCAACAATCCCTGTGCCAGAGGCCTTTAGTCCCTGTTGGGCCCCTTCAGCAATGCTCTGTCGTGTTGGTTCAGATGTACAGTCAAGGCTACAGCCCTTGAGATGATTTACCAGCACGGCCTGTGCTGTTAGTGTATCATGGAATCATAGAACATTAAGGGTTGGAAGGGACCTTAAAGGTCATTTAATCCCAATCCCCCTGCCTCATACTAGACCAGGTTGCTTAAGGCCTTATCCAACCTGGCCTTGAACAMTGTCAGTGTTGGGGCATCCACAGCTTCCCTGGGCAAGCTGTTCGGTATCTTACCACCCTCGAAGTAAAGAATTTCTTTCTTTATCTAACTAAATTTTCTCTCTTTCAATTTGTACCCATTACTCCTTGTCCTATTACTGCAGTTCCTGGCAGGGGGTCCCTCTCCAGCTTCCCTGTAGATCCCCTTCAGACACTGGAAGGTCGCTGTGAGGTCTCCACACAACYTTCTCTTCTCCAGGCTGAACAGCCCCAATTTTCCCARCCTGTCTTCGTAGGGAAAGTGTTCTAATCCTCTAATCAACTTCATGCCCCTCCTCTGGACCTTCTCCAAYCATTCCATGTCCTYCTTATGCTGGGGACACCAGACCTGGCTGCAGCACTCTGGGTGGGGTCTCATGAGAGCAGAGGGGCAGAATCCCCTCCCTTGCCCTGCTGTCCCACTCCTTTGGAAGCAGCCCRGGATACATTTGGCTGTTGGGGCAGCGACTGCACACTCATGGCTCATATTAAGTCTCTCCACAGGGCTGCTCTCAATCACTTCTCCACCCAACCTGTGGGAGTGTGTGGGATTGCCATGACCCAGGTGTAGGACCTTGCACTTGCCCTTTTTGAACTTCATGGGGTTTCCATCGGCCCCCATCTCAAGCCTGTCAAGGTCCCTCAGTGCCCACTGTTAAATGGTGCATGTGGGATTGAAACTCTTCCTTTGAGGTTTCAATTCAGTTGCATCTGTGATATCCTAAAGCATGTACACAGTTCACCTTGGTTCAGCTCACTCCCAATGACATATTTATCCCCTATAATCTTGGCTTTTTGGAGTCCATTCTTAGTCAAGGATAAACTTCATACAGATATGTCTGGAAAGTAAGGGGGCTAAGACATTCAAATGACACATTTGGGGAAATAGGGTTAAGAGGAAGCACTGAGAACTTCACCAGCCTTTGCTAAGCAATCACTGATCTTTCAAGCTAGAGGTTTATCATAAAAATTACAAATTCATGTTTTTTTTCTGTCTCTAGCGGGAAGGACCAAGTGTTTTAGTGATCAGACATGGCAGTGATCGGACATGGCAATGCTTTGATTCATTGTTTAAACYAATGGATGTGAAAACTTTGGCTTCATCTTCCATGCTCCAGAGAAAATGTCATGCAATTGTTTTCTTTATTATTTGAATTTGTTTGCTTTTCTGGTGAAGAGCTTTGCAAGGTGCATTTGGAGGCCATCAAGTATTTAGAGGTTAATTGCACATATTTCAGAAAAATTACTGAAATTATTTGCATGGTTCATGGTAAATGTGAGACCTTAAAAGGTTCTGYATATTCACACCTTTTGTAGATTGTCATTTAGTAATTCTAGAAATGAGAGTTTGTACTCTATAACCTCTTTYGTCTTCAAGTTCTATGCTCCTTTTTTATAAACAGTGGTTGAGATGTTGAAGTAGAAAAAGGRGGAAATTAGATCCTATTAGTAAATAGTAAGAATTTGTCTTCTCTCCTAGACAGCCCAGATTATAGTAAAATAAGATTCAGGTCACCCTTTGTTTACTGTTTCCCATACTGGCATATTTTGTATCAAAAGAAAAATATGTGATGAGTTGGTGGTTTTGTTTGGTTGTTTTTCATWAAGAACAACATTGCAGAAAATGGTAGAAATACCTGGTCAAACAACAAGGGTGGACATTGGAGTCTTTTGGGTCCTGATCAATGTTAAACAGTGCTAGTTTTAAAATACCAAAGTGTCCCATGCTGTTTGCTTGTTGCCCTTTTGTAGTTTTTTCTATTTGTTATTTATTTAATGATTCCAGCAGAATTGGTACAGGTGTCACAGCTTCATATCTCCTGCCTCAGCCTGTGACCGTTCTGTGACCATGTGMTTGCCAATGCCAAATGCTTTTTCTGAGACCCAAGCAAATGCACTAAAGCTTTGCTTACAGTGAAGTGATTCTTGTCTTAAATCTGTATCTGATTCAGGTGAAAATCACTTTCTGGTTCTGACAGGACATGAGGGTGAAAGCCGTGACCATGCAGCACATCACTGATGATCAATTTGATTGAGACACTCCATGCTTTACACAGAGTGCTCTAATAGGAAGCSTAATGCCCATTTCAGTCATCCTATTACCACAGCCTTCTATATCTCAGAGAAATATGGGCTACCATTGGTTTTATACAGTTGATGCTTTGGTATTTTTTTAATCTCTTTGCTACAACTCATTTTTGTATGTCTCCTATTGTCTACTTCCAGTGACATTTGTGGGAGAGGAGTATTGAATACTTTTTACCCTTTCTGTAATGTAGACCCTCTTAGGCCTAACTTCAATGTTCTGCAAACTACAGTTGCCTTTAAACCATGAAGCAAAACCAGTTTGTATTACCTGTTTTGACTGGTTTTTATTTGGAACAGAGACCTAATAGGAACTTCGGTAAGACAACATTATTTTTCTCTTTTCTTTTTAGAAAACTCTAGTGGAAGTTTGGAAAGGTGATGTACATGAATAGCCCTTAAATGTTAAATATTTCTGATTGCAGTTGCAATGAAAACACAGTGTTTGAGTGTGTCTGTACAGAATTCTCAGTCTTTGAAATTGTTTTCAATTAAAAAAACTGGAAGAAAAACCTAAAATGATGTTTTGGAGTAACATCAGTGATCACACACGTCAGACAAAAAGCAAAAATTATTRTCTTACATGACTTAAAATTTGTGCAACAAAACATATTTTCTGGCTTCTGTTGAGCTTCAGTTTTTTGCTGTTCTGGGGTTTAACTTTACRTAAGTTCTCATACCATACTGTGCAAGTTGACTTGCAAGTCTGGATGAGACAGATGACACATTTTCACCTGTGTTTTCATGACAATCCTGTGCTTGAGCAACTCTTTCAGGAATGCAACGATGTGTAGGAACTCCACTGTCCCARATACAGTGATGCACTAGCTAGAAGTCCTTACATGTACAGCTATTCTGTGGWACTTTGGGAGTTATTTTATCTTTTATTTGACTGGGTTTGGGGTTTTTCTAATATGGAAAATAATTATTCCTCATAAAATCTCTGGAACCAACCAGTATTGTGGGCTATTTTAATTTGGAGACACTTTCATAATAAACATAAGTATTGGAAATGTAGTGTTGGTTTTATTCTTTTTTCTCTGAGATGCAGACAATGTTTTCCTTTGTTTTAGTTCAAAGATTGTTAGCCACACTGTAGACTTCAGCACTTTTTGGGCAGGTCTAAGTATGTCTTTGCTGCGTTCATCACTGCAATATTGTCAYAGCAAGTGTTAGAAGGACAAGTTCTCTCTATACAAATTTAAATATTACTTTTAAAAGGACCTTTTTCTAGGATTTCAAGATTAAAATTTTGCATGTTAATAACTCCTGAATGTTCAGCTGGGCCCACTTTGGAAAAGCTGCCTTTTTCAGTCTAGATGAGCAGAGTTTCTTAGAAATAGATATTCAGGTTTTTTCTTTTAGGCTAAACTGTCACCCAGCAAAACACCATCTACTAACCTCTTGTGGAAGTGAGAGAAGAAAGCTGTTCTTATACAGTGGTTCTCCTAAGGGAAAGCTGCAGCTCACCAAAGTAAAGCCTGCAAAACACCACTATCAGGCAGGTTCTGGTGCAGCATTAGAAGATGATGAGGAAGTACTTAAAAATGGGATGCTTGAAAACATTCTGATTTCAGCAGGAAATTCAGAGATGCTTAGCACAGACAGGTGAAATAGGGCAATGGTAGGCTTCAAAATTAATATWTATTCTGGATATGAGGGCAATGGCATTAGTGAGCAGCCAGAAAGGACAGGCTTTCTCTCATGGAAGGGCTTCTGTAGAAGGAAGGAAGAGATGCCAACAGCAGCCGTAATGCCTCAGAGAGATGACAGAAGTGACAAGTGCAAGGCTGGTCAATACTTTTTTTTTTTTTTTTTTTCACTCCTGGCTAGTCTACTAACCTACAGAAAAGTGCTGACAGTAGTCTTTTAATGGTAGAGGCAATTAGTTGAAAGAAATACAGGCAGCCTAAATATTCCTGTTAATATGACTGAAAAGCAAATCCACTCATGAACAATGAGACCCTTGAAGTCAGGCCTTGCCTCATTGTCCCATTGAGTTACAAAATTCTCAGAGAAGACACAGGGTTTATGGACAAAGCAGAAATTGAGGATTTGCTTGATTTGTCATTATAGAAGTGCTTAGTAATTCTCTGCTGCCATTCTGTTCCAAAATTGCAGTATAATCAGTTGGCACCTTTACCCTTCCTAYTGCTCTTTGTGCTTACTGGCTGTAACACAAGGAAAAAATGCAYCATTTTCCTTGGTATGTCCTATTAATTATTTTGAAAACAGCCCTAGAGGGAAGAAGAAATGGAAGATTATCTTCTTTTTTTGTTAAGTTGAACTCATAGAAGATTGAGGGTGTAGTCTGTGGTGTATCCATCAAGCTGTATGGTAAAGTTTAGACAAACCAAGTGTTTTACAACACAGTTCAGATCTGACTGGGAAATATTCTCAACTGTATTAAGAGCATTTTACCAGCATCACCAGATTGAAACATGCCTAAATGGCCAGGTCTTACATATTAGTTTTTTATTAACTAGAATTTCTAGGACTGAATCTAGTTTTTATTTGAACTGTGTTATATTATCAAAAAAGGCTTTTTTTTCTTGTTGCAACTGTCCATGTGAATATTCCGTAAAAAGGAAAATATTTTATAAGATAGAAAAAGAATATTTTAAATCAAAGATRAGCACTGGAGCAGTAATAGTCTTCCTGATAAGATGCAAAATACACACGTGCTATATCTGTAACCACTATATTTCATACTTTATACTTCAGGCTTTACCATGTGTAAGGATTTCCAATGACAAAGTTTAACAGACCAGGAGAAAAACAACATTCAGATGCATGAATAGAAATACRAACACTAGAGTACATGTTAGGGTAAAAATTAAGACAGTGACCTGTGACACAGGTAACTGAAGTAAGTGCTAAGCTTCAGCATACTTTTTCTTTAAAAAGGTTTCAGGCCTATTTCAACCACACAGAAACCTGAAAGACACATGAATGCTTTTGGAAAAGAGACACAAAYTACAGGAGGTATTTTAGTTTGAATATCTCCCTGGAGTAGCTAAATACAAATCATTGCATCATTATTGGATGTAATGGATCAAAACTTACATGTCCAGAGACATTCAGTTAAGGGWGTAGCTGGTGATACTGTTGTTCAAAGAATGATCCAATATGTGTCTAGATAACAGTAGACTAAAATACTGGTTTTGTTACCTTTATTTAGAAATTAAGACATGGATAAATACATATTTTCACAACAGGAAGAAAATAAGTGTGCCCTACAGGCAGAAAGAGAGGTACAAACCAATTTCATGCAGACTGTTTATATGATAAAGCAGTGAAAGCTTTTCTGATGTTGGCAACAAATGCAGAAAAATTATTAGTTTCTCTCAGTTTGAGCTGCAACTCCGCAACACAGTCCAGAGGAGGAGTGCAGGAAGTCACTAAAATGACAGATTTGCAAAAGGTTAGACTACTATTAAAAAAATCAATTTCAAGAGATTTTTCACACTTAAGAAATACTAATGTAGTTTGTAATTTTTTTATGTTTTAGCTTCTTTTGAGTAGCCTCATTTTCTTTCAGCAAAGAGAAAGCCTCAAAAGAACATAACAGKTTTTTTGATTTCCTGACCTGCCACTCAGTCAGTACTGTGCTCCTACTTGAGTTGTTACAGCAATTCCTGCTCAAAAACTGAAACACATTCCTAAACTGTTTTGTTGCTCAAGCAGGCAGATTGTAAAATCCCTGCCTGTGACAGATTTTTAACATCAACAGTTTAAATTTGAACTAGTAAAACCAGAAATCTGTTCAGTTCATACCTAAAAGCATAGCAGAGCCCCAGWACCATGTCTAGAAGCTCTCCAGCATTCAAATCCCATAACTGAATTAAGATCCATATAGCAAAACCAGCTTTAAGATCCAAAAGACTGTGCCCTTACAGAAGGGAAATGCTGGATTTCAAGTTTTATTCTTTCACCTATGTCACCCTTTTTCTGCCTCTAGGCTTCTGGAACAAGTTGAAATATTCCTGTGAGCATACACACCCACTCCAGCATAAACAAAGTACAAAATGAAGCATCCTTATCTCTGTATACCCTCCTTCTCCTGCTTTGCTTGATACAAAGTAAACAGCATCTCCACAAATGGAGGGGAGATAAGCAGCTGTATTTTCATGTAAGTTAATAARACAAACATAATTAAAGAAACTGTATTACCATTGCAAGATTTTTCATTCAGAAATTGGCAGATAAAAGATTACAAGTAACCTGCACTTCATTCCTCTCCTCCTTTTTTCAAATAGAGGTATCAGATTCGGTCCTCTTATTTAAGTATTCAAAATTCACTTACCTTCATAATCTCCCTGTTCATTTATGGAAAGTGTAAACATGTATGGYTTGTCAGGATCTTTGTGGTCAATGTGTCTGAATATAAACTGCAATTGGTCGTCTAAAACAAACACAAACAGAATTAACAGACACCATTAACCTCTGCTGGAGAGTCACAATGATGAAGAAAAATCACAATATGAAGCTAGTTTCAATTAATATCCTTAGAACACTTATAAATTAAGCAACCCTGGTCTCTTAGCAAGACAAATGCATTTTAACATATTTTACCATTTTCAGGACAATTGTAATAGCTGGGCTAAGWGAATCGATCAGGTGTGTAACTCCAGTGTTCCTCACTGCACAATCCAACATGAACCACATTGTATCAGTGCACACAGAAACTACRGAAACCACAGAAACTTACCATGAATTCTACGCATCTCCAATCCTAGACGCTCTTTAAACAAYGTTTTAGTCTCGCTTACTCGTTCCACTTTCTCTTTGGCAGCTTCAGTTTTAGAAGATTTTACTAGAATTTTAAAATCCATTGTAAGKATCAAAGGCAAAACAAGCACATGAAAAACATTTGGAACAGCAGAAAAGCCATAAAGAGTAAATGCTGAGAACAACCCCTCCTTCAATTAAGAAAATTTACTTATTATCTTTTTCTTACTTACTTTCCATTTTCTTCTTCAGCTCCTCTTTAAGCTCCTGGATGCTGTCAATCAAATTCTTCTGTTGCTCTTCTTCTTGACTTAGCTTCAATTTTATTTCTGTCAACTGCTCTTCTTTTTCTGCTACATATTTGCTCTGCTGAAGGATCTCTGAAAAGAGGCAAGAAAATATAAACATATATAGTTGATGTCCCTGCTACGTAAGACTTACATAGTTTGAAATTATTTATACCAAGAAAACATAGTGGAATCCATGAWACCTTAGCCACAGAGAGAAGTCAGTTTAACTATAACAAGAGCATCAAATGAAAGCTTAAARTTATTCCTAAGAGAAGCTACACAATATGGACATGCCCTGATACTTTAATCACATGAAATTTGTTTCTCTTGCCAGCACTTCAAAGCATGAGGATGGTGGCTCCTGTGCACAAATGACAGAAAGCCAAGAATGGAAACATTGACTCATATGAGAGTTGAAATAATTTTTACCTGACATTCTGATGTTTGCCAAATTCAGACAAGTTAACCCTAGATTGATGAGCTGACACTATTCTCTCACTAATATGGAAAAGGCATAATTAACCTCACAATACCTAGCTATACTATGCAATTTAATTTACATTTCCTACTGCAGTCAGAAAATTCTGATACTTTATTGTTTTAAATACTTAAGCTCTCTGCAAAAAAATTTTACCAGACTTTTATATTTTTGCATTATCAAAGAAGTTCTTCAACAAATTGGTTTTTATTTGAAATTTACATTGTAAATTTACATTGTAACCAATGCTATCTTACCCTCATTCTATCTTCATTCTGAAGTTATTACTTACCTTGTTTAGTATGAAGTTAAACACACTATTCAGGTGTAATAAATTAGTTTTATAAARGTTGAACACAATAAATAAAAACACCATACTGTACCACTTTTATATTCCTGAATTTTGTCAATCATCAGGTCTTCCTCTTTYAGCTTCTTGGACCATTTCTCTGTAATGAAAAGTTACTTCAGTTATCTGAAGACGTTTGACAATAACTTGCAAAAAAGTATAGTTAATAAGAACATAGAGCCTTTTTACCTGAAAGAGCTTCTATAGTCTCCTTGCACGAATCTCTCAGTGCTAAAGTTTGATTGATCTGTTCAGTGCCATAACTGATTTTAAACTGGATCCAAAACTCTTTCATATCTCTTTCAAAGAGTGATATTTCATCTTCGGTCTGTTCATTACCCATGGCTGTACCAAACCTGGAACAGAACAGAAGCAGAGTCAGGACACAGGAGGCAATCGCAGCAGGTAACTCACAGGACGAACGCTCAGGGTTGGTTTTACCGCCCCGCGGTGCTGTTAAAACCTCTTCCGGCAAGTTGTTTTTGTTGTTACCATTGACTCAGTGCGAGACGCGCTTCCCCTACATTCGAGCGCTCGGCGGCCGCTCCCCGGGCCCCGGTAGCACCGCGGGAGCCGCACCCCGGTGCCGCTGGCGGGCACCCCCGCCCTTCACTCCCCTCCGGCCCCGGAGCCGCCCCGCGCTGAGCCCGGCCGGGCCCGCACCCACCGCGACCGAGCCGGGACCGAGCCGAGACCGAGCCGGGCCCGCACCCACCGCGACCGAGCCGGGACCGAGCCGGGCCCGCACCCACCGCGACCGAGCCGGGACCGAGCCGGGCCCGCACCCACCGCGACCGAGCCGGGACCGAGCCGGGACCGAGTCTCAGCTTCCCGCCACCAACGGCCGCTCGCGCCGCCCCGCAGCAAGCGCGCCGCTGATTGGCCGAGCTCCGCCCCGTGGCCGCCTCCGCCCCGAGCTCCGCCCCCGTGGCCGCCATGATGAGGCGGGTCCGCCGTGACGGGGCGGGTCGGGCGGGGCCGGGGYTGTGATGGGGCGGCAACCGTGAGCCTCTCCCATTCCCCGCGCAGGTGCCTGCTTGCSCTTGAGGTGTTTTGTCTGGGTGTGTTGATGAGGTGACGGCGGGCTGCCTGCCGGATTGGTGAAGGTAAACAGCCYGGCTCTCTTGCGCTGCTCTGAAGCCACAACTTGTTTCCAGTATCTGATTGACTCACGAACCACACTAGCGGTAACCGGTCCTAAATGTTGYGGGGTTCTGAACTGCTTTTTCATTCACCCGGCCTGAATTCTTTCGTGAATGTGGATAAAGCTCGTTCTGATAGCAGGTTGACCTGCACGGATAATTGCAGTCCTTTTTGGTGTGAACAAACCCACCATAGAGTAGCTCTGCCTTTACATTCAAACATTTGCCATAAAGCTCTGTTATAGTGTGTTTGCTCTTTATGACAGTATGGCAGTTTTTCCTCCAGTTGTTTATATTCCCGTTTAGCCCTTGATAAGCACTAGTTTGTGATCCGAGGTAACAGCCTTCAGTTTATCATGAAAGCTACTTTTAATAATTTTGTTGGCATAACTAATGAACTGCTCCTAATTTAAGTTTGTCCCAGTGCTATTTAGATAATCTCAGAATAATGTAAATGTAGTTGGCTTTGAGGATTGCTGTCTAAAAGAGTTARTTATTACCTGCCACCCGCCGATGCATAGTAAAGTCTGAGCTGAGACCAGATTACTCTTGTACAAACCTCTTGTATAAAACTTTTACCCCGCTGTATTCCTGTCTCGATTAACTTGGACACACTGTTTTCCAAGTTTCACAGTTTCCTCAGCATTAGTCCTAAAACTAATAGACCCCTGGTTCTTACCTGCTTCACATTTTAATRTATTGAAGCTGGGCAGGTCCAAGGTTGATTACCTAGCCATGTATATGGAGCATATACTATGGAGCATATACTTCATTACCTTTTCTATTTAGGAGCATTTCTCTCCTAGCTGAGTACTTGTTGTTAATATAAAGTATCAGTGTTGGCCGTGACATCATTACCCTTTATTATTTGAGCTCATAACTTTCTGAATACACAATTTGTCCAGGCCACAGAGTTTAGTAAATACAAATTAATCTAATCTAAACAAGTCCTGTTTTCTAATCYATAATATTTTGGTCATTTCTACAGCCTGGTCTCTTCTGAATCCTTTTGCTAGCACTGATAATAGGTTCACCCCAGTATGGTAGCTGGCACTAGCTCAAAAATGTTAGGTATCTTTTCTTGATCAGTGAAGKTTTCCTAGACTTCATTAGCCCTATTCCTTTGTTTTACACTCTTACCCACCAAAGACTAAAAATAGCCTGTGACATTTACTGACAGAATCCATGCTTGAAATTATTTCTTTTCTGATTCATTGCGAGCTTTGAGAGACATGAACTATACTATAAGGTAACCTCAACCTTTCCCACTACTCTCCRCCATCAGTTTATGTTTCAGGGAAGCACGGTGATTTTGGCAAGTCCTAGTGTTCTGAAATAAAACTATTTGCTGTATTTTAGTATGTGGAATTGCAAATAAGACTAATGAGCTATACAAAGTGGTCAGAMAGTGTAGGCAATTAAGTTTTTTAATCGAAACTTTCTCTTGTTCTGATATTGGAGAGCCAAGGTTTGGCCTTCACATAATCAAATTAGTTCTTGTTCAAAGCAAAAACCTTTAAAGTGCTATCTGTTCATGTAGTTTTTAATTTATTGATAATTTATTGATTTATTATATTTTCCAAAACATGTAAAACCGGAGACTTTATATATACATGTGTGAGTGCATATATATGTATATATATAAACATACAGATAAAATGTAATAACAAGAGTCATGCTGGTGATCACTGAAGGAAGGATAAAATGTTTACAGCCCCTTTGCACCTACATATGAGAGCAAGTATTACATAATGGTCATCAGATGTTAAGTAAATATTTGCAAGGGAGGGAAAAGCCAGCAAAGCAAACATTTTTTTAAACACTGTTAATGGAAGCCTATGTACTGGGCCTAACTGTCTGGTACATTATGCTTRGTTAATTGAACAATAACATTAATTTCCACGCCAGCATTTCCATTGGCACTGGACCAACCACAAGGATTAATGAGCAATTTATCAAGTTCACCAGCAGACACTGTATACAACAGCTGACAGCTATTTTCTTAGGTGATTTTCCAAGTGGAACACAGAGAAGATTCACTTGAATTTTGAATAGGAAGAGAAGACTATATCAAGAAGCTTGTGCTCTCTCTTGTTTTTTACTTTCTTTCTTAACCCATGCCTCGAGAATTCTTCATTGGACCCAGGCTTTTTCAGCATTTGTCTGACCAACACAGGTTTAGCAATAGCTAGCATGACCCAGTCTCCTTCTCTTGGTTCTGCCACCTTAATCTGATCTTTCCTAGTTAGTACAGTCATTTCTCTTTGCTGTAGAGTTAACAATGCAAATGCACAAAACCAACATAACTAATCTGTKCACTATAACAGTAACTGCAGACCTCACTACTTGTTAACATTAGTTTGTGTTTGTATGTGCAGCAGTATAAATGGTGCAAACTATGCACAGAATACAATYCTGGCATGCCTATGAAAAAGTCACATCTAAGGAATTTTACTTACTACAAGTAAGAGCTACCTTTTAGAAATTAGAAGCAACCTGGACTGGATAAAATTCCATCAAGTTCCTTGAACTGCAGGCAGTTCAACCTTTGTGCAACAACCTCCAACTCATTTTTTCAGTTCCCTTTCCAATAAGATCCCTGTCTTACTGTTCCAAAACCTTCATGATGTCTGTTTTGTAGATTGTGGGTTTGTTGAGGTTTTTTAAACATCCTTTATAAACATGACTACTCTGGTATCTTTAAGATGAGGATGTAGGAGCTTCTGAAAMATTAAGAAAGAATGTAGGAGAAAATGAAAGCCTTTTTGCTTGCTGTTAGCTGTTAGTCTTTATTATGTCTAAGGTGCTTATCTATCTAAGCATAAGAATCAGGAGCAAAATCCTGAAAATTGGTATCAGGAGGTGGTCAGCATTTATACTAGAAGAGGTTTCTTTASTGAAACGTTGCCAAGACATATCTTCAAACATTATATTTGCAAAGTTTTTGGAGAGCAAGAGTGTGCCTGGGTTGTTCTGTCTGAAGAAGAGTTCAGCCTGAGCGGATGCATCACTGTCCCAGTGGATAGATAATATGGGTGGGTAGGTTTGAATTTATGAGTAAAACAAACATGCAAAAACTTATTGCGATGGTTCTGCACATCCTTTATCAGAGRCAACTTTTCAGATACCATTGAGTAACAGTGGTGCTGCTAAAGAGGGACWGCAAAGTGATCTGTTTATCACTTGGTAGATTCTTCTGAGGACATTAAATTGTATCTTGGTGGAAACTTACCTACTGCAAAATATTTTTTCCTAATAGAACAATAGATTTATTTAGACTTAACCTCATTATAGTTGTTGCTTTTTTAACCAGATACTAGGAGTAAGATGTCTGTTATTCAGCCACCAACTGACTTGACATTTGCACTAATGTTTGAAGCTAGCTATTCTTTCTAAACTAGACTGAAATATAGAGGAAGACCTCTATTCACCATATTTTTGCATACTAAACCCAGAAATGTCTAAAAGAGTGATTTTTATTGTTGTTATTGTCTTATTTATCTTCAAAAGTGMGGTGCTTTTGCAGTACAAAAGGACATTTTCTTTAGCAGTAAGGCATAAAGGGTTATTAGAGATTTCTAAACAAGTATGGTCTTGGGAAAGTACTGGGAGAGGGAAAATTAATTCCACCATTCATTTATATGACAGTTGCTTCACACTCTGAAAAGAAGGAAACCTCATTAAACATCTTCAGCTAAAAAGCTAGGATTTTTTTTTTGTTCAAATGTCCTGAAATTTTGCATTTGGATGGGTTTTCCTTGAAATCAGATTAACATTTGTTGAAGTGAATACTTTGGTCAATATATAGAAAAATATTGTAGTTATTCAGAAGCAGTGAATAGAAACTTTTAAGATTTGCTATATGGCTTAATGCAATTGGTAGCCATAACATATAGGTTTTACATCTGCTAATTTTTTTTTTAAACCAGGGTATTAATAGCTGAATTAAAGGGTAGTAGTTAAAGTAAATTTGAGACTGTGTCAGGAAGAAAAATCTGCTACGTCCATTTAATTGTCATGCCTTATTGGAGCTACTTAATGTTTCCATGTGACTTCCCTGACCACACATCATAAAAGCCTCTTAAGCCATTAAGCCCCTCTTCTGCAAAAACAGTTAAGTAGTTCATATCTTTGTCTCCACAGTTCGTGCAGTTTAGCTTGAAGTGCATGGAAAGAGTATTAGGGAAGTGTGCRGTACATATATAGAGCTGCTTTTGTCTTTGGACTCACAGTGTTTCAGATACACAGATAATAATTTGATAGAAGATACATCAGAATATTAGAGCCTGATAAAGACCTTGAAGTCTTCCTCTTGCCGCTCTGATAATATCAGAAGTTGGTATCATCAGGCTTTTAGTATCCATTTAATCTCTTGTAGAAAAGCTTTCTTCTTGAAGCCACCTGAAATGAACATAATCTTCTATGGTACAGTTATTAGTTCTAATATTGATGAATCTGATATGTTAATATATTATCTGCTTTAATCTTTTAAACTCCTGCTRTGTGTCACAATCTGTTTGCTCTTGGCTGTTTGCCCTGGAGAACCACTGTGSTTCACTTGAGAATACTTCAGGGGAATATTCATGGTTATCTGTTCTCAACCTTGCTCTGGTTTGTAAAGCAGGTCTCATTTCTGTTAGGCTGGGCAGCAAGAAGGGGGCTGCAGTTCCTTCTGGCACAGGGGTGTGTGTAGGACTTGTATCATGTAAGCAGTGCACAAGAATGGTGGTACTGAAAGATGAYTCAGAGACTGAGCATTGTGCCCTGGATTAACAGGCCTCTTGTATGARGGAAGCAGTTGTTTTTCAGTGTTTTAAGAATATTGCTGCTTTAGAAATAAATCTAGAGCTCTACAGCATTGTTGATATATGGATGCTGGTTGTATTTTCCCTGACTGAAAAAATGTGTTGTGCAAAGTATTAGTTGCAGCATGGTAGCCAAATTCTGTTTCAAAGTGAAATGTACAGCTTCAGTGACMGTTCTGCAAAGATCAGTTATTTGTATATACTTTCTGTCCTTTATACAGGCAACACTTAATGAAGTACACACATTACCAATGTCCATCCTACAGAGAAATGAACTGTGAAACAATTTAAGCAAACATGTTCCAACTGTTCATACAAAAGATTGCACAGGTTGCACGCTGTGTTTCTACAAAACTTTCCCCGCAATTTGCTGCTGCTCAGCATGTGCTTCACTTAGCTTCCTACAATTAAAATTTGCAAACAGAAAAGCTTTCCAGTGCTAACAGACTCATGTGCTTTCCTGGAGATCTGGAGCCACGTGTTTCAGAAATGGCTGCGTACACCATGCCAATATAATATAAAGGCAACGTCAATCACCTTCTCTCATTTTTTAATAGCTCCTCTCCATGGTTCTCATTCTCCATCACTAGAAATTTAAGATTTAAGGAACTTTACTATATTTCAAGTACAGTTAAATCCATTAAGATGGATCTCCTTCATAGCAATGGCGTGCTTATCATTCAGCACTTACAGAGGGACTACAGGGCTTACCAGGATTTCCTTAATTTTATGTCACATGTTGGCGATCCCCGGAATATATTTTCAATTTATTTTCCTCTTTGGTTTCAGCTCAACCAAGTGGTTGGTACTAAGATGATATGGGTAGCAGTCATTGGTGATTGGTTCAACCTCATATTTAAATGGTAAGAAGTTGGATTTATTTTTTAATTTTTTTTTTTTAATATTAGTTACTATATGTACCTTCAGTTTGGAAAAACTTCTGTGAATACTGTGCTAGTAGACTTTCCCCAGTAGTTATAAAATAAGAATTCACAATTAAGATATTTAAGATATGTTTGAAATGTCATTGTGATGAGAAGAACCTGTAGAACTATTATAGGATAGTTTTGGAAATATAGCTCTTTATAGTCTTTGTAAGATTACTTATCATGCTTTGCTGAGACCTTCTTATGTAAATATCTTTTCATTGAATTTCTGCTTCATTTTTATTTTATTTTTTGTCAGGATTTTATTTGGCCATCGCCCATACTGGTGGGTGCAAGAAACGATGATTTACCCTAATCAGTCAAGCCCATGTCTTGARCAGTTTCCTATAACATGTGAAACTGGACCAGGTAAGAAATGYTGGAGATTACATTGGTACATTTAATAGGGATAGTAGTTTCAAGGGGGAGAAAATGTGACTTATGAAGGTCCTACCTGATATAAAAATCTGAGAGCTCATGTATAAAATAGCACAAAAATACAAGTAGAGGAAAAGGAAGAAATAYAATAGGTAGGTATTTGCTGTATGACAAGAATATTTAATGCATTGCCTTTAAAATGTGCAAGGGAGGGGGATTTGCTTTAAAATAACTATTACTATAATGAACTGGCATATTGGGAAGAAATTTTCACAAAACTTTTGAAATACCTTGTTTAATGTGTTCCAAGATAGAGCATGGGGCTGTTGAGCTTGAGGGATTGTTCATTTTTGCAAGAAATATTCAAATACCAAAAACTRAGTAAGTGGTTCAGTGTAAATGACAATAGTCTCAGCAACTGATGGTGTAAAGTATCATCAATGGAAACGGGAACCCCTCTTCCGAGAACCAGACACTGGCACTGAATGCATGTATGGGAGTATGTGTACAAATACACGGGGAAAATTATTTTTTCACTATTATTTTTGAAATATACCTTTTCAATATATTTTCACTTTTTATATCTCATTATCTTCTCTGTGGAACTCAAATGCAATACTGCTGAAGTTAAATGAACTTGTGCCACCCTAATGTATGAAATAAGATTAACTTGCTTTGAGCTAACTGAATTTAGTTGAATTCATTGTCCACTGAAAGCTTTTAAGCAGTTTTGCATAGCTATATTTTGTTAACAATATCCTGCGTTACATCCCATTGTAATTGTGAAGATGAAGCTTAAGCCCWTGTATGATGCAAGGTTTAATAATGCCGGGTCTGTAGGTGATCTGCAGTCTCTTTCAAGTCAAATTATTTGGGACCTAAYGCAATGTATTAAAGTCCTTCAGATCTTATCAAAAGCCTTCAGAACTGAGCCTATTCAGTGCTGTGTAGTTCCAATCCCTGGCTCAGGAGATAGTCRATGTGTTTCATTTTGGTTCATTGAACCAGAAGGTGTTTCTTGTTACTTTCTCCTGAAAGGTCATTCCTATTTCTGTATAGTGGGTACAACTGTCATAACTGACTCCTTGTTTGCACTCATAATGACCACATTTTCTCCCACCTCTAAATTTACCCAAGACCATTAAGGCTGTCACTGACCTGTTTCTCATTAGCAAGAGGCGGTGCAGTCAGTGCATGCATTGTCACATGTTACAGTGTTACATGCATGCAACTATTGTGTGAGCTTACATGCTTTTTCAMACACTTCTAAAATAGCGATTAATATTAAAATATTAGAGAAGCAGCCACARGTAAGAGAAAGGCAGATCCAAATATTAAGATAGCATAAACCCCAAACTCCGTGTCTCAGCAAAAGGGAAAAGCTGAGAGAACTATTCCTATGACTACATGGCCAACAGGCTAGGACCCGAATTTGGTTTGTACTTCTGGAATTGAACTAAAACTCTGCAGCCTTTTTTTCTCTCGTATTTGTAAGGCTTTAAGAATATAAACCTTAARGTGAAATTCATGCTGTTTCTAGTAGGTAATTTGCAGATGAGCTATGAAAAATTCCTMGATGATGTTTTCCTAGAAGACAACCAAGAGAAGCTTTTCCAGTGCTGACGTACAAATTATTGTTTCTGACATTTGTTCTGCTGTGAGGTTTAGGAGTGCACATCTGTTAGGAAATTGACAGAAGAGCTGGTAGAGCGACTCTAAAGGTACTGCCAAGTAGAATAGCAAAAATGAATGCAGGGAGTCAGACATTGAGCTTGTCCTGCCTAGACATTTCTGCTTTGCTGCTTCACTGAAATTTTCTTTTACTCTACACACTACTACATRGTGCTGAATCACAACCCCTTGTCAAGACAAAATGTTTCTTCTGACAGTGAAATAACCCTGTCCCTTCTTTTTGTCTTCACAGAAAGCCAAGCTGTAAAGATCCAGATTTACAGATTCCAATGATTTAATTTTCCCTTTTCCCTATTTTGATATGTTGAATATAAATCTGGTGAGCAGGGGAAAGGAAGYGACAGAGTAATTTTAGGATCACTTCCCTTGCATTATACCAGCATACCTTGGTTTTTGGTGATTTTCACAGCTGTAGGAACTTCTCTGTGGCTTCCTATTGTTTTCAGAAAAATTACAATTTTATTTTTTAAATTAAGACAAATTACACATATATTATTATAACTTGGACTGAAGACAAATCACTGGTGTTTTCTATATGAGTGTTCCCTTTTATAGACTACTGTGGGTGCAGCAATTAGTTGGATATGTTAGAGCATCATTTCATGTGCCACTTTCACTGATAATCTGTTTTCAATCTAATTGATACATACAGCACCTTAGCATTTATAAGATTAATCAAAATAAAGCATGAAGATGCAGTTTTCCATCATGCTTCAGAGACATTTCTAAATTTATCACAAAACTATTCAAAATGTAAATTACCTGGATTGCAATGTTGCTAATGAGRCACAGCTCACAATCGTTAACACCACGGTAATTGCAGAGGCATAAAAGGCAGTTTGGAAGGGCTATCTGAAGTTACAGGGGCACTTTAGTTTAGAATGTTACAATGAACTATATTTCTCTTGCTCTCCTTAATTATGGGGAGGCTCATTCAAAACTTTTCTCATGTGATCCTCAAATATAACTTCTACATTCTATGCTACAGCTCTAAGAGAGCCCTAGATGCTTTTCTTTTATTTTTGAATCCAAGTAATGGGAAAACCCAATCAAGATTCCACCTCACACCAATATATGATGATTAAGGTGTTATCTTTTTGATTTCAGACAAGTCTTAGGAATTCCCTAAGAATCTTCTGAAAAATTCATATGGCAAAAATTAACCTTTGAGAAGCAATTGACATTCTTTCAACCATTTTCTTTCTAAATGATTAGGTGCCTGAGTAACTGCCAGTAGACATTTTCTGTATGACGAATGTCACAGTCATCATTCTCAAACTGAATATTTCCTATTTTACTAGGAAGCCCATCTGGACATGCTATGGGATCATCCTGTGTCTGGTATGTAATGGTCACAGCAGCACTTAGCTACACAGTGAGATGGAAAGATAAATCAGCTGTTACCCTTCACAGGTCAGTGTCTTTCCATGATTTTAACTCACTATATGCAGATATTTCTTTATATATGGGCTATGTTTTTAATGGACTTTATTTAAACAAATATTTGCAGTTTGTTCTATCTTGTAAAAAAAAAACAACCCTTTATTATGATCTACTTCAGTATATTAAGAGCATTTATCCATTTGTATAGGTTGGCATTTATCAACTTACAGACATTGTATACAGTAGCTCTGAATCAGTCCAATTAAAGGTTGTGTCACATCTTCAGTGCTGAAAATTTTTAATGTTATTAATTGTCATTCTGTATTGGATTCTTTGGTTAGTACATAAATTTACTGCTTTGGTGGTCATCCTTCTTAGCCTATTTTAAAGCAAATGCACATAATGTTGACAAAATTCATGGTAATGTGAATTTCGTCAACAGCAGCAGCAGCAACAGCTCAATACAGCTCCCCTCTGTGGGAAAGTCTTGCAATTGCTTTGGTGGCTGTTCTTTCCACAGCTGACAAGGTTATTCCCATAATGTGAATTTTGTCATGAAATAACTGAGCTTTTGCATGTAGCTGTGACTTCATGATGAGAAATATGTTTAAAGTTGTTTAATTATGATCAAATATGTTTAATTTAGCCTGCCATYGACGATTTTTATCACTTAAACAATGTAGGTGTCTTGGACCTGAAACTTCTGAGGTCTGTTCCTGTAACCGCTCTTGATAATGTTTTAGTACTGACTTCTAGTTTTTGATCATCTTATTCTAAACTGCTCTACTTGGTAGACCTCTGCCTTGTAAAAATATAAGCCTTGCATGATGGGGCTTGAGGTAAATAAGTAGATGAAATACCTTGTAGATGAAATAACTTTAATTTTTAAGTGTCTTTCTTTTCCCTCTTAGACTAACATGGTCATTCCTCTGGAGTGTTTATTGGATTATCCAGATCAGTGTGTGCATCTCAAGAGTATTCATAGCAACACATTTCCCTCATCAAGTTGTTCTTGGAGTATTTGCTGGTAATGCTGCTATTCTTTTTTTTCTTTATAACCTATATGCAATTTTTTTTTGCAAATTTAGAGAATACAAGAGAGTTTTAATAGTTCTACTCATCTTGCACCCCAGTGGTGCTCTCCWCTCTCTGGAAAATCAGGGATTTGATAATAGTCTAAAGGTAAAACTTGTGCGATAGAATGTACCTGCTGCTGTGTAATTCACACAGTGAAGGGAGTGAACCCTTGTCCATGTGCCAGTTGATGCTGACTGATGTGCACACTGCCTCAGACTAGCTCTGACTGCTTTGTACTGGCTGCATCCAATCTTTAACTGTGCTGCCTGTGTGGAAGAGATTGGAGCGGAAGCTGCTCCTCTCAGGAGGAAGCTACTTGGATCACTTSAAATCGTGTCCAGGTGCAAACTAGCATGTGTGCAATGTGGACAAACACAAGGTTAGGGTCCTGGGGCAGAATAGAGAAAAAGGTAAATAGCAGGACAAAACTTCCCTGTATGATTTAAGATGCTAAAATATCTTTTTCAGAGTTACTTAAGCATACTTCAAATAGGTAATCAAGGAGTCCAAACTATGAGCAGTATCTCTAGTATCTGTCTGATTTTAAGGAGGCTGACCAAGACATTGAGCAGGGGCTGCCTGCTCATGTTCTCTTTCATGGATGCAGTGCAGCCTGGGCAGCCCTGGCTAACAGCTTTCCCTCTTCACAACCAGGGTAAAATGAGTACAAGAGAAGATAAGTGTGTTCTGTGTCTTTTCCTTCAACACTCAAAGCCTGTGTGGGAACTGGTGTTGAAATCTGCATTGCTGGAGCCAGTCTTTGAGTGAGGGACTCTTTTGGAAAAGGAATGTTCCAGTTTACATCTAATATTTGATAGGTTGTCATCTGGGAGAAGCAGTCAGGCCCTAAGGTATGCCTCATATTAAAACCATGTAGTGCTTGGTATGTTTTTGTTTTCTTTTTCCAAAGGGTCAGTTTTCAATGGGAAGAAAGGTTTTGTAATCTACGTCAAAAGTGGTAAATTGTGTGTGTGTATGTGTGTGTATCTATATATGTATGTATATATATATACACACACACATAGGTATGAAATACATATATGTTCTTCTGTCTTCAAAAGTCAAATTCTACAGGGACACTGTAGAAAATGCTTCTTCAAAGTATGAGTGTGTTGTTCCCTGTAACACTGAGTTTCTAATCCACAGGCATTCTTGTGGCAGAAGCATTTGAGCATACCCCTGCTATTCAGACAGCAAGCTTGAGAATGTACATCAAGACAAACTTGTTTCTTTTCATGTTTGCCCTTGGCTTTTATCTATCCCTCAAGCTTCTTGATATTGATTTGCTATGGTCTGTTCCAAAAGCCAAGAAGTGGTGTGCCAACCCAGACTGGATAAACATTGACACAACTCCATTTGCTGGACTGGTGAGGAATTTAGGTGCACTCTTTGGTTTAGGTCTTGGAATTAATTCRGAAATGTTCATCACGAGCTGCAAAGGTAAAAATAGCTGCAAGATAAGTTTCCGCATATTGTGTGTAGCTGCTTCTTTAGCTACACTGCAGCTGTATAATTTTGTTAAGATACCTACTCATACTGAGTATTTGTTCTACATACTCTCTTTTTGTAAGAGTGCAGCTATGCCTCTGACTGTAGTTGCCTTGGTTCCGTACTGCGTMCACTCTTTAATGAGGACAACTGAAAAGAAACTTAATTAGGTAGAGTTTCAAAATGGTTAGCAATGTGGGGATGGATGTGAACTGTTCAAGAACCCTCTGCAAAGGCCATTTTGCTAACTCATTTTAGCCAAGGGGATGCCACTGCATCTTTGATGTACTCCTGGTAAGTAACCATTACATCCAAAATCAGTACACTCAAGAATGACTTTGGCAGCTCAGAAATACTAGTTGCTGATTTTATTCCTAGAAATATGGTAACTGCAGTATGGTTAGAAATGGCCCAATACTCTGGGTCATAACAAAGTTTGAAAGTAAAATCAACCAGCTTTATTTAGCTATGTGGTGGTCTTTTAGTTCTGTCCATCTCTAGCTAGATGATGCTTCAAACATCAGTTGTCCATAGTGATACTCGATATTTCTTTTTGCTATATATAGATACTGTGTGTTAAACTGCTACATAGTGGTGTGACAGTATAACACCACCTACGACTGTATGACTGTATCCAGGCACTGTGGAAAAGGCCAGCATAGTTATAAACAAAGCTTTAGATTTAACTTATTGAGCTTCCTGAGCAAACCAGCTTCTGATTAAGTCAGATGAGAAAAAAAAAAAGTTTATTTCCATTAGATTCTGTAGAATATATTTTCGTGTTACTATGTGGTTTTTGTATTTTTTACTTTTTGAAAGTGGTCAGATGAACCTTGAATGATGTAGATTACACCTTCGATAGTGAAAATGCATAAATATGGTATAAAAATCTTTGGGTTCTGTACATCTACAGAGAGCAACAAATGAAGAAAGTTGTCTATAATGATATTATCTCTGTATATGACCTGAAGAATATTGTTCATACTCCTCTGTTGTAAAGGTAATTCTCTCCTAATTCTCTCAGATCAACAGTCACAAGCCTGAATTACTGTTAGTAGTTGTGTAAATCACGAAAATATGGTTGCAGACTGTCATTTCAAATTCATATCCTTGTCAGCTTTATTTACCTAAGCACACAAGTAACTARTATTTTGAATATATGTTTGCTGTATAAAGTGGATATTCTAAATAGGCAAATGGGGGGTACTTTCCATTTGTTTTCATTATTTGGTACTTATTTTGTGTATTCCCTTTCAGTGGACAGTCTTTAAGCAATGTGTTGCTGATATCATCCCATAATACTTAGTGTACAAGCTGTATATATACAGTCTTAGTATGCAAGGCTATAATATGGGTAATGAGGGCTGCATATGTATGATCTGAAAGCAGTAAGGCTTAGAAGATGTAAACATGATATTGCTTCTAGACTTTCAATTAGGTGGGAGAATTTGAGAATCTTATTTAATTGGTGTTGGTCTTTGGGAGTGAATAAGATACAAATTACAGAAGCAAATCTGAAACAGGCATTCTTAATTAAGAGCCTAATAAGMCTACTTTGACTTAAGAAAATTCGTCTGCTTTTAACCCTTGAGGAGTATGCTGCTTCGTGCATCTCCTGATATCTTCTGTAGTGCTTCTCTGAACTTTTTCCCWCAGTGGCTGACCTGAAAGCAGTCTTTTCTATAATTGTGACTCCTTAAGCAAAATTACTAAGCTAATGGGACTAGACATAAATAATGAAGAACAAAGACAATTATTACAAAGTTTTCATCTGTGTTCAAGTTGCTATGTGCTTTGTTAATCCCTACCAGTGAGATGACCTACAAAGAGGCATCACAGAACAGCAGCAGGTTGGTCAAGCTGTTGTTCTGTTCCTGGCTCCTTCTGGCCAGCAACAGGGGATTCTTTGTGCACAGCTGTCCAGGGTTCTCATAGCAGCATTTGGATTTAGTGGCAATTTTAATCTGGGAGTTAYGGGTAGATATCAGATTTCTAGGTTTCTAATCACATTGACAAAGAATCTTGGTGCTTCTGTTGGGATAGACACAACTAGAAATGTAGAATGACAGCTGGTATTTCTGCAGTATTTTTCTACTGTACAGACACATAGGAAGACATGGGTTCTTGCTCACTTTCTTGGAATGTCCTATTAATTCATTCTGCAACTTCAGTGCTTCAGTGCTTTTGATAGAATGTTGCAGTGAAATAAACCACCATGCCCCTCGCTCAGGCTTTAGTAAATTTATTGCAGTTGAAAATTACAATTAAATCCTTATTTAAATAGACTGTGTGACCTTATTAAGAGCTAAAATTGTTAAACATTTAAGCTTAAGTTCACCTGGCCTTTGAAGCTATTTATATTGTTAATATTTGGAACATATTAACATACAGCATATATACAGTTACAAGATGAGCTAACAACTCAACCTAGTTTGGGCCACAAACACCTTTTGAATTAAAGTTTTCCTATGTAATAAGGAGGCTSGAAAGTGTGTGACTGACCTCCTTGCTCCCACTAGTAGGAACCCAGGAGGAAGTAAACTTTCTATTCTTGACTTTAGTTGCCCAAACTGGGATGATGCTATCACAGAAGTACTCAGTCTCTCTGCAGAAAGATTCTTATGAGCCAGGAGTAATATGAAGTGAAGGTGTCCCTTGCTCCTCATACAAACTAGCTGACAAATTGTCATTACATTCAGTTCACAACACTTGCTACTCCACAGCTTTTTTTATTTTCCCCATTCCCTGTTTAACCTTCCTGGTGGAATGACTCTGGGCCCAGACAAGCTGTTCCTACCCAGAGCAGGCTAGTTGGCGCAGGGGCTGTATTTGCAGAGCAGTTACTCAGGTGCTATCCCAAGCCATTATTGTGRTTATATCTATCCAGAGGCATAGGGTTGCTGGAAAATGCAGCTGCCATGGACCATGCAGAAAAGCATACAGCMGGGGACACCATATGACACTGTTTACTGTCAAGACCAACAACTCAGGTCTGGCTTGAAATACCTAAGCAAATGCTTGTGGAATGGTTTGGAAGGATTGTCACCAAGCMCCAGGGCTGGGACATCTTACCTGTAAGGCAGCTGCAGTGCCAAGACCAGTCCCGCTCTGCACCAGGCWCTCCATCAAGGGTTGATGCTCATGCCCAGACACACTGTGTAATGCCACTTGCAATCCAGTCCCTTTGCACAGGTTCCAGAGGCCTTTATAATCAACTGGTTTTCAACAGCAAGTAGGAATAAAGTGGCAGGAGGTGGCACCCAAGAAAGTGCAACTGTTCKTGAAGACAGTGAGTGCATTTTGTTGGAGCAACACACTTCCCAGCACTTAGCTCTTGGTATTTCCTAGCTGCCTGAAAACAGGATGATGTTACACGAAAAGCAGTAGCAGTACCACCCAGCTTGGACCATGTCTTTGTGCTCCCGCAGGGGACAGCAGGATCCTGTGCAGGCACTGCCTTCTCTGCAGCTCCATCCTGAACAGCGAACCCTTGTCACAGACATGATCCAATTACACAGAAATGCTTGCTAGCTGCTGCAAGATACTCATGTATATAGCTGAACTGTTAGAGAAGAAATGCTAGAGCACAAGAACCAGTAAAAAAATACAATTTATTGGTTTAATTTGGGTCACAAAAGTGTTGTCCTTTAGGAAAAGAAATTATGAAATAAGTATACATAGTCATTGTAATTTTAAATAATACTAATATAAATTAAATATCATATACTTATGTTACTAGGTTATTGATAGTCACTCTGTCAATAGTTTCAGTCCTGAAATCCTACTTATTGCTCTGAAACATAAAAAGGCTAAAAAGATTAAAGACAGTAATGCAGCTTTTTCTTTTAATTTTCATTTAAGGTTTAAAATACAGACTTCCTCAGGAAAATAGCCATTTCAATGCCAGCTGTGTGAACTCAGTAGGGTTTGTGGCAGTAATTCTGTTAATGGAGTTGTACAAAAKTTGAAATTGGGTTTTGCTGCCCAGAATTAAGGGGTATATCCTAATAAACTTTTTACCCTTACAGGTTTCTTCAAGTACTGGTACTGTCATAGTATTTTAGAAGAAGTGATGTCACTTCCTATAAAGTGAATGCAAACCTGCCCCCTCCCCAGCCCAGGTGTAGATTGTAAGACACAGTGAATGACTTTTCCAGTTAATAATCTATTGTTTAAAATCAATGTTTCAGTATTTAAACTGTAATCCATATCTTTTTTTCTATCTACTCTGTCTCCAAGATCCCATTCACTAAAGACTCCTGTTATGMTGCAGACAGTAATACATTCCAGTGAAACCTGCAGTAGTTCTCATAATAAACTGTGACAGATACAAGCTTCTCCCAAAAGAAGCTCCCTCCTGACCTTTGTCATTTCTGAATACATTGTTGCTCCATTTATCAACTGTATTTGATACAAAGAGCTAATTATGCTTATTTTTCCCACCTTTACTCAGCATTGTCTTGCCTTCTGAAAAAAAGAACATATCGATCACCATCTCAATAGAAGTGGCTTAAATAACTGATGATTAACTGTAGGATTTTACATTAATTTAACTAAGGCATTTATTCCTATTCAAAAATCTTTTTGATAGCTTTGATTAGAGTGATGGGTGTTAGGTGGAGAGTGGTGGGCTAGGAAATGATCCTCACCAGCTTCTGTTCCTCACCTTGATTACCTTCCTTACTTTTGTGGAGCTTGGTTCTTTGTAAGTACTGACTGGTTTATTGAAGGGGCACAGCTGTGTCAGTGCTGCAGGTGCACATAAGGGAAGCCCAGACTCCCTCAACAGCACCTGTGTGTGGTACAGTGGGGTGAAAGACTGGCGGTTCTGTACACACATGAAGGGCCTCTGCAGTAATCCTCTGCAGACCAAATGTTAGGACAGATTTGACCCCTTCAGCATCATTTGTGGGGTTGTTTTCACTCACTCAGCTTACCTAGAGAAGAGGCGGTTTCCAGAACACCAGAGCAGAGTCTTCTCTGATWGCTAGTTGAGGCATAACAGGATTGTGCAGTCTGACTGCAGGTAGTGGCAACTCTCACAGATCACCAGAAAATGTATTTCCCATTTTCAGGCTTTCTTTCCCTTATCAGTGGGCTAAGCTACTTCCTGAATGCATTAGCTTATGCTTAGTACCCTGCATGTGCAGGACAGGTGTGCTTGATGCAGAYAGGTACATAACATTCAGGGTTCCACAGATCTCACTGTATGGCAGAGCACTCTGGAGCACAATGGAGCACCCAMACACACATACCTACCACAAAGTATTTGCTTACAGAAATCTTTCAAATTCAGAGTCACATTAATTCAGCTAATTGGGGCTCCAGTAGTAACAAGCTTCCAATAGGCTCCTTCCTTGGCCATCAGTTCATCATGAGTGCCCCTTTCAATGATGAGTCCCTGTGACATCACAGCGATGATGTCGGCGTTCTGGATGGTGGACAAGCGGTGGGCAATGACGATGCAGGTGCGCCCTTCTCTGGCCTTATCCAGTGCTGCCTGCACGGTCTAAAGGCAACAGACAAAGCGTCAGGGTGAAAATGTGCAAACTAAGCAGGCTCAAAGCTGGAGGAACCCAATTGCTTCAGATGAATTAACTGTATTTTGCAASACTTGTAAAAGGAACAATGAGGCTAAATCAGAGATTCTGATGCTGATTTGATTAGTTGGGCCATGAGCTCTGTTCATTAGCAGTACAAACAAGGGAGAGCTAAATACAGGCAGTGGTAGAAATAAAGCCTTTACTCTGCTGACACGCTAAATGTCAACTGAATGCTTTGAAATCAAGGCAATTAATATCTATATCTCTGAAAAAGTGCTGCTTCTCATGGACAGTTTAAGAACCCTTAGAGGTAGCTGCTTTTTCTTACAGCTGAGCTGCCTGCACTTTCTGGAAAGATCATTAAGGTTGAAAGTACTGAATTCACAATATGGAATAATGTGCAATCATGTAGTGGAACACRCTGGGATATCTATAGAACAGAAAAGGTATTGGATGTTGTAGGCCATTGCATTAACTTTCCTTTATTGCTTATCGCTGGACATTTACCTTTTCACTTTCCGTGTCTAAGGCAGATGTAGCTTCATCCAGTAATAAAATTTTAGGATCTCGWATGATGGCCCTTGCTATGGCTATGCGTTGCTTTTGCCCACGAGACAGCTGAGATCCTTGTGCCCCAACATTAGTTTCATATTTCTGAAAAACATATAAAAGGAATATTTTATTCTGGTGTAACTTAACACAGCACTACACAGTGTAAAGGAAGAGTAGAAGGAGAGAGGCAAGAATGCTGACMACTGCTGCCTCCTTGAGAACCTGGGAATGCAGAAACACCGTACAGGAGTACACGTGTTTGCAGAGAGGTTTCCAAGCCATGCTTTGTCTGCATGTGGCCCTGAGGCCCAGGCAGCACAGGAATAGGCCTAGAACAAAAAATTTGAGAGCAAGATGTTGGCTGATATGTCTGAGGGAAAAAGAATTCTCCCTGCCCTAGATTTGGGAGAAAAGGCTAAAAGTCATTTAAGGGCTTTCTAGAAAAGTGCTGTGTTTGGGTGCCTAAATTGCATCCATACCTTATATGTTCCTTTTATATTTACATTATTTTAGTGCATTTAAATACTTCATAAATATACATAAGGAGCTAGCCTCAAGTATTTTTGTCTAAATATCTGCCCTACTCACAAGGCAAATCTCTCTCAACTGGGAACAGGATTTATGTATTTTTCTACTGTGTAAGAATTCAGTAGCAAYGCACACCCAAACTCTCAGGAACACAACGAATGGTCATGGCACCCTCTTTGCTTCTACTCTTACAGCTGTAAAAGGAATAAAAGGTGCACATGTGTAGCAAGTTTAACTGGGTTTGGAGCAACTCTCGCTGCAATGAACACCGAGCAGCCAAGGCCTCCTGGGTACTTACATTAGGCAGAGACATGACAAAATCATGCAGTTGAGCCTTCTGGGCTGCTTCTATGACCTTTTCCATCGTCGCCTCTTTTGTGTTACTGCCATATTTGATATTATCAGCAATGCTGCAGTCAAAGAGCACAGGCTCCTGCGACACTATTCCAATTTTTGATCTAAGAAACTGTACATTTATGTTCTTAGAGTCATGTCCATCTATTAACTACAAGGAAATGGGAGAAAACTTGAAACATCCTTWCAAAACAACAGCCTGCAACACTCAAATAGTTTATAGCAAAACAAAATTATTTAACCATATCATACAATGCAAACACAACTGATTTTAAATGATAGGCTGAATTGCTTATACTTTACTCCTTTGTGCATGATGTATATTTTGTGGTATGGCTTTGATCCAAACACTAGATCATTTAGCCAAACACTAGATCATTTGCTCAGCCTTAAGTCCTAGTGAGCTATTTAATTGCTTAAGGTTAGACACATGCTTTCTTTGTTGCCTTGCTGACATAGTGATCACCATACAGATTTTTTCCAGAGAAAGAGAAATCAATCTAGATGGGTAAGTATTTACATTAGGAAAACTTATGAAAGCTTTTTAAACCATCAGTAATTAAGTAACTGGAAGTTAAATCTAGACAAGTTCCATGTTCTTTGCTGCTTCCCTCAGGGTTGATTTTTGCTTGTGTTCTCACAATGTAGAGCACACATTTGTGTGTTTCATACAGAARCTACCAAGGTAAATGCCTATGGCCTACATCATGCATAAGCATGCACCTGAGGCTTGTAGTTCTCTGATCTTGTCTGAATACATCTGAAGTAATATTTGGGAATTTTCCAAATGGTCCACATCTGTCTTTATGACAAGGAGCTGGAGCCTCTAGCTGCACATGTACGTGCCAAGACTGCTGGGCTGCCCAGCAAGACACAGGCAAAAGGCTCTTGGAGCCCTGTGAAAGCAACAGCACAGAAACCAAATTTTCTTTGCTTACCACACTTCCTTTCTCAGGGTCATAGAAACGYTCCAGAAGCTGGACACTGGTACTCTTACCACAGCCACTACTTCCAACAAATGCCAAAGTCTGTCCAGGATTAACAGATATAGAGAGTCCTTTCAGGACCTGAATATCAGGCCGAGAAGGGTATGTGAATTTACAGTTAAGAAATTCAATGCTTCCCTTGAAATCATCCTGGTGAAAAAAACAAAAAAAAAAAAAAAAGGAAGAAAGATGTTACAGTGAGCTTGAGCTCAACACTGAATTGTAAAGTTTTAAATAACTCTCCCTCAGATCCATTCGTGCATCTTTTGTGTAACATACTACATTTGTGCTTATGAAACTATCTCAGGAAAAGGGAAGAAAAACATACTGGAGTAGCTGTTCCAGAGGTGAAGCTATTAGTCATAACACTATTTTCTGCTTACACTTAMTGCATGGTCAGAGGCATCAGTTGGTAATGGCATTGCCTTGCAAATGGGTAAGTTTAAAATTTTAATACAGACACTGTATTTCAATTTTCTGTGTCTCACTTTTCAGTTCACCAGAAATTGAGCATTTTCATTGTCTGACTTAACAATTCTTTGCCTTCTCATGAACCCCCCACCAGTTTGATGTGAATGGAAAAACCTCCATTATAAAACAGCAATTGTCAGGTTTGTCATAAACTGTAGAGCAGGAAACAAGAACTTGATATTCTGTGAGTCATCCAAATCAGT